TTTTTTTTTTCTTTTTTTTTTTTTTTTTTTATGTCTTGTTCTATAATGTTATTTGGGTTGGTGATTTGGAGTTATAATAATAATATATTTTTAATTTTAAATATAAATATTAGGTATCAATTATTTCATCATATTTTTTTTATTTTTTTTATTTCATAACATGAATGATTATATTTCATGTGTAAATATTATTGAAATGAGAATATCACTTTGTATTGTATGTGTTTGAGGTCATCCATAGTTGACTATGGAGATAAAAATATTCTATTGATATAAAAACTCTTGGAACAATTTTTTGCTATAACTTTTTACAATTGTGCTCTCCAAGTTGTATGCTTTTTAGTTACAGCCATTATTTTTTTGAGTTTAATGGATTTATGACTATATATATCATAGTGGGATGGGAGAAAGCTCGCTGCAATGCTTGTGATGAGGCAGATAATTCTCGTGCGTGCTTTTCTTGGTGTGACAATTTAAGTACTCGTATGTGCCTCAGTGCCTCCTGAGAAAAAAATTGCACATGCGTCTTCAAGCAGGTACCCTTGAAGACTTATGCACGTCTTTCTTAGCATTGTAGGACTGAAGACTACGATTACGGTGCCACCCGACACTGACCATGCACGTCTTTCTTGACTTGGAGGGCAAGCTAAGACTCCTAAAATTTTTCCTAAATATGGGAGACGCTAGGCGGCTGCCAAATTTTTCACTTATAGGGGACCTAAAATTGGATGGTAGGCGGCCTTATTTGAACCAAAGATGGTAGGGAACAAAACCTGAAATGATGAACAAAGAATTAAACTCTAATTTAATAAAATGCATGTTGACCCATGTGTAAAAGAACAAAAATGAAAATCACATACCTCGTATTCGTCGAGATGCCCAAATTTTCATGAATCCCGCAAGATATCCAGCGTACCTGACACTGTTCAGTGCCGACGCCACTGGAGTCACGTCTCTTCCCGGGAATACTGTTCAAATCACGCGCCAGTTATGCTTTTCTCGTCTTTAAATATCGGACCTGTGGAAGCCTTCGGGACCTTTTCTCCTGCAAGCCTCCACAAGTCGCAGGCTTCCTCCATTCGCAACCCACGACCGAATCCCAATCTCTGAAGTCGTC